CCGGGCCTTGAGTTGGCGGGGATTGGGCTATGTACTTGATATAAATTTCCCTCTTGATATAAGGTTCTTTCTTATGAGTTTTATTTCTTGAGAAAATTCAGCCAAATACACATACAGAGCTAATGCAGATGATGCCAGGTTTCAGCATGTGTGTTATGTTGTACAGGAGGAGTTCATCAAGAGTCACAGCCTACTCTACAGTAGCAATTAAGGGGAAGATAAGATGTAGAAAATAATATCCACATTTGCCTCTTTTATACTTATTTTCAACAGACTGAACAATTTTAAACATCAAGCTGAGACCAATATAAACCTGTTAACCAATGGAGTTATCTACATAAAGAAAAACTTATGTAAATCTTGAACCATATATTTTTATATGTTCTCAGAATTCACTGTAGCAACCTTTTTTTTGTCCTGGGATTTGTTATTTGTCCTGTTTCTAGCATTATTTTCACAGAACTGAAAACAAAAAAAACTTAATATCCACAGACTGTTCTTTCATTTCACTGTCTAAATTTAGACAAGAATTGTAATAATGTGCAAAAAATACATTAGAAATTTCACCTTTATTTCAGTATTTCAAAATCAACCCTGCAGATTCCAAATGTTTCTGAGATTTAAAATGTTTCAGTATTCAAATAAAATATCATAGTGCTAAATTTGCATTTATTATGTAACAGCAGATCTTTATCCTTGGGTAACTTTTGCTAAAAGAATTTAACAAAGGGAATTAATAAGAAAAATACAATTACCCTCCAAACGAATCTAGAACACAGGTGAAAAACTCTACTTATTAAGAGTTTGTATTTGGTTTCTAAATCATAATATTGTAGTTTAAATACAATTTACCACAAATATTAACTGATCTATTTTAATACGGAGCCCTGTGGTGTAGTGGTTTTGGATTGGGCTGTGATCTTCAAGTTCTGATGTTCTAAACCACCCTGCGCTCCACAGGACACACAGATGGAGCTCTCTGCTCCCATAAACAGTTTTAGTCTCAGAAACTCACAGGAGCAGTTCTACCTTGCCCTACAGCGTCTCTGTGAGTCAGCACCGACTCAATTGCAGTGAGTTTAATTTTTTGTTTGTTTTAGGAAATAGGACATACTTTCGCTTACAATCCCCAGCTTTTATGTCTTAAAAACTGAAGTAAAAGCTTTATTTTATGAATCTCTTTTTCACTGATCTAGAATTCCCTAATATCTCAGTACTTTTTTTGTTTTACTTTAAATTTCTCTGGGAAAATAATAAGCATTTTGACATTATAAACCCGCAAGTCATTAAATGAAAAGAAGTTCTTAAAAAGCAACGAAATAGAAAACATAAAGCATTTATTTCCACAGCTCTTTTTTTTTTCTACCAGTCCTGCACTCCTATCCTACTATACTAAGAACACCACTTACTAAACTTCTTAAGTCACACCCACATTTATCACATGCAACGTCTTTTGCAAATAGGAGCATATTACTACTGTGACTGTTTTTTTAGAAAAATGATTTTGGTTCATCTTAAAAATAAAAGGACACTCAGTAGTTATACATGGTCTCTGAAGAGCCAACAACTCTGGAGAAATATGGGAAAGAAGAATTGATTGAGGTCATGTTATTAATGCACTGAAAATAAAGGGGTCATCTCTGGGAAAAATGGGTAGGCATCCCTGTGGATCTCACTGTAACCATGAGTCCACACTATTTTCAAAGAAAGGGTTTTGTTTTGTTTTCTTGTCCTGTTTTGTTTTTTTGTCCTGTTATGAATTTCCACAGAGTTATGAGGTCTGAAACGGAATTATGCAAAAATGTAATCGGAGACCACGGCATATCAGAATCCCACTGTTAAAAAAAGCAAAGTATCATTCTTTTTTATTTTGTCACTTTTGAAATAAATTAAACCCAGATAGTTTAAGTTTGCTCACATAATTTTAATTTTTGAAGAATGTTGAGATATTAGCTAGTTAACTCATGTATTCTTTGAACACTGATGAATAAGAAAATAATCAATAAATATGGCAAATCACCCTAATTTATTCTAGCCTACTTGCTTACTTGTTAAGATGCCGTGCATGTGCTAATGTATTCTGTCATCATACATGTGCATAATTTTATCTATCATGGATAAAAATAACGGTCAGTTATGTGACCCGTCCTGCTTAGTCATTTTTCATCTACTTTACATCTAATTCTATTATATTGTCTCAGGAAGCTAGTCATTCTTTAATAAAAGGCATGGTCCATCGTATGACAGATTTTATGTCAACTGGACATATCTAGGTGAGGTCAGGGTGAAGGCCAACCTATCAATCAGGTCACAGTCTACTGACACCTCCTTGGGGAAGTTGCCTTTTGTGTAAGAGAAAGCCTAAGCGAAACTGAGTTCTTTCTTGTTGCTTTGCCTTCCACTGCATCTGGATGCTACATCTGGTTCATGGTCCCAGCACCCACCAGCAGACTGTCAAACTTAGATTCATTGGCCAAACTCAAGTTCATGGAGCTCTGCTTCCACCAATCTGTGGCCCTCCTGCTCCAATTTCTTGTTTCATGTTCAGCTACTTGAGTCAGGAGAAACTTACCGCTGGCCTCCAGACATGAAGTGAACTGGATTTGGCTATTTCTATAATAGTGTAACCCATTTCTTGATATAAATCTCTTTCTATACACATACAGCAGAACCCTAGACCTCAGCAATAATTCATTCTAAGAGTGTCGAGATGCAATACAGTCGAGTTCCGAATCAATTTTTCCCATAAGCATTAACTGAAAACTGATTAACCCATTCTTGACCACCAAGTTTTGCCCTACTCTTGCCTTTTTATACAAAACATGACGCAGAAATTTTAAAGTAAATAAATTCAGAGTTAAGTGATATAATTTAAATAAGAAACATATCATTTAAAAAGTTTTTTAACAACTACAGTATGGCCCATACCTTGAGACTGATGAGGATCTGGATCTGTGGACCGGATGTGGAGAGGAGGGATGGAGAGAGAGAGGGATTGTTTGGAAGGGGAATCCCCTTCCATAAAAATCCACTGGTGGCTGCTTCTCAGGTTTTTCCCTTCTTTGCCTTTTTTCACTGGGACCTGGCTGGCTTTCTCTTAAAAAAACAATCTAATGTGGTCTGCTGTTGGCGTTTCCTTAACTGTTTTCTAAAAGGGTTTACGAAATTATAACAATATCAATAACACGGTTAACCAGTTCCTTATCATGATGATTCTTTTCAAAAAACTCTTTCTTAGGACTCATGTTTTTTTTTTAATCTAAATATAGTACAAAAAACCCCACAAAAACTAAGAAAATTATAGCAAAACGCTTAGAACACGGCCGCAAACGCTTTAAACAACGCGTACTAGCAATGCCGACTAATGCCCCAGTGACCGAAACAGGAACTGCTTTTGTTTACAAAAATCAGGTGCGTTGGGTTGGATTACGATGTTTTGTTAAAGGTCCGATTCAAAATTTTCTCAACGTTTCTCGTCAAAATCTGACTATGCCAATAATGATGCTGTCAAGTCCTGGGGTTCTACTCTATTTGTACTGGCAGTTTTGCTGTAGAGAACTCAGGCTAACACATCCATGATACAAATGTCTTATATTTTCTAAGGGTAGAATCCATTCACAATCACTTTTTTCAGGTGGTTCTGCCTAAGACTGCTAACTGCAAAGTCAGTGGTTCAAAACCACCAGCTGCTCCTCATGAGAGCAATGGGCCTTTTCACTCTTGTAAGGAGTTACAATCTCAGAAACACATGGGGCCGTTCTATCCTTTCCTGAAGGGCCACGGCATTGATTTGGTGGCGATGAGTTTATTTGGTTTTGTATCAGACCGCATTATACTTCTTTGGCAATCCTTAGTTCTCTGTAACTACCTTTAGGGATCTTTCCCTTTTATATCTGGAAATTATTAACCTTCCCCAATGAATTATCTTTCAGTCGTCTCCACTAAACTCAATTCATTTCTTTCCTTGTGAAGATATTTTGAATGTAAATCCTTTTTGAAATAAGAAAATCACTCCAGGCAAGTAGATATCATCAGTACCAATATACTTTGTTTTCATTCAAATGATTAAAGGAAGAGTCTATTTTATGCCTTGAAGCATATCTAAATAATTTACCCCAAAGTTAAAAGAATTATTCCAAATTGTTTTGAAAAAATGTATTATACTAAGGAAAAATGTGATATAACTATTATAATTAGTCACTTAATTTATTAAATACTATAACCATTTTGGTATAAATTAAAATAAGCTTAATCTATTGTTTTTCCATTATCATCATTCTAAAAAAATTAATTAAATAATGAAGCCTTGGGAATTTTTACTGATTATCTATTTCCATTCTAATTAATTATGAAGGGGATGGCCTATATTTCCAAGTATTTCTGGTTAAAAAATGAAAAAAAAATTATAAAATTATAGTAACTAGCATTTATACATCTAATGCATGTAGTACAATCATGCCTGACAGAAAACAACTTCTATCCTCCTGACTTCTCGGAGTTCACTTTCATAACGTTCATTAGGCCTGTAGCTTGCAATGAGCTTAATGAGCTTGTTTTCAAATCGATGACTCTGGATATTTTAATGCAAAACAACCCCACTATTGATGAATTCACTTAGACTTTACATAACTTTAAAAATGTTTGACTATGTATCTTATTGCGATGAAAAATATTGCTTTCCTCATATTTAACTTGAATATCATAAAGCACATTGAAAAATCCACTTACCATATCATTCACATAACAAATGGCTAAGTGTATACCTATTCTTGGATGTTCTTGGATAACTGAAGTGTTCTTTTGTCCTACCATTATTTATGTGCATTTATATACATATGTAAATTTTAAAATACTAAATGTAGAAGATTTATTAATTGCAATAATCTAGATTTACATAAGCACTGACAAATCTAGGACATTATGTGTAATTATATTAAAACTTATAAAACATTTAGAAAATCACAGTAGAAAGACCAAAATTATTTACAAAGGATCATTTATTAAACACTTTTTGTTTTTACAAAATACAAACATTGTTTTTCTGTATGAATATATCACATATGAAAAATATGTCTTTACTGCATTATAGTTTAAGACCATCAGAATTTCATTTTCTATCAATATAAGGATTCACCTTTGCTTTGCAACACTATTGACGGTTTCCAGGAAATTCCTTTTCTTGGTAATTAAATCATATTTATAGGAGCTAACATTTTATAGAAGCAAAATCAGACCAAGTCTGCCATGCAAAGCTCTGCCTGCAAGGTAACTGACTTGCCTATGATCCTAGTTGGGTTTTTGTTTTGTTTTTTTCCCAAGCTATAAGCTAAGAAGAATTGAGGAGCTAGATTAAGTTTTAAAATATGTATTAGCAGCAGTTGATAGTAAATGCAACATAAGATGTGTTTTGTCTGTGGTACAAGAATATGTCCTATCAGACCCTACTGTGTTTTTCTCTACTTGGAAACAAGAAAGCATGTACTGACTGCCGTTGGGATGACAGAAGTATAAGAAGCACAGAAACGTGTTGCTTTTGTGAGCGCCTATTTTCATCAGCTAATATGAATGTATTGCTAAAATTAGCGAGGACAGAGAAATGACTTAAGCATAATATATACAGAGTTAGAATACATTTGATATCAACCTAAGAGTGATTTCAGGCACTGTGGCTCTTCAGGATAAAATGTTACATGGTTTATTTTGGATAGCAAATTCATTTTCAGTGCAAGCAAAAGCAAACACCTGCCCACTGTCATACACATGACCAAATACCTCCGCAATGTTCAAAGTAAGCTCGTCTTCTACAGCTTCACTTTAGAGGCATCTTGAATAGAAAGGTCTCTTGTTTTGCTCTTGATCGCAAATGAACGGGCAGTGCAAGCGAGAGCAAACACACTTGCCCACTGTCATACGCATGACCAAACACATCTGGAATATTCAAAGAAAGATTAGCTTTTTTTTTTTTTTAACTGTAGAGGCATCTTTAACAAGTGGCACTTCGTGTAAACCCTTTATTAATCATGGTAACCAGACTGCAGAAGCCCACATTTGATAATCATATAAATCACCGTCACAGTCCTCTCTGTGTGTAAACGATGTGAGGGTAAGGCTTGTCATCACCACGTTGCTTTCCTGAGAATGGAGCTGCTCCTCTCGGCGTGTATCATAAATGCACATGCTCTGAGCTGTGGTCGCTGTCAGGACTGTCTTCGTTGGTTAGAGAGTCCCCTGTGTGCTGGAGGGTGGCTGCCCCGATTCCCGACAGCTCGGAGGGGAGCAGGGTTCCTTTCTTCACGTTCACCAGTTCCTTCTCCCGAGCGGCAGCTCCTTGCTGCCCTCCTTTGACCCTCTTCCACTTCATTCGCCTATTCTGGAACCAGACTTTTACCTTTTGCAAAAACAGAAAAACATAGAAGGCGATCAAATGGACGTATTTCCCTTTCTTCATCATCAGTTAAAAAGAACTCATCACCATCATCATCATTTTATAATTTATTTTTAATTTCTCAGAAAGCCCTGGAAGTGAAACATAATTTGGGTGCCATGGCGTACAATATAGAAAAAACCCAACCAAAAGAAATAGACAAAATCAGAAATAGAAGAAAGAAGAGAGTAAGGTGGTAGGTGGCGGTTGACTCTAGAAAACATGAGCATAAGTTAGAGGAAATGTTGTAATATTAGTATTGATCAAACTTTTTTTCCCCCTAAATCTCTTAGTCAAAGAATAATTTTCAGCGAAACAGTGCATGTCTAAAGTGACACATAAAGACATCCGTGTTCCTTCAGTCCTCTTCTTCAGTCACAAACCTTCATTGGTCCATTATTTCTAACAATGAATCCTGCTTCTTCTGAGGATTTTTTTTTGTTTGGTTGGGTTTTGGTTTTTTTTAGCATTCAGCACTTTAAATTTCTTCAAAAACAGTGGATTCTAATCATTTTCTAAATATATGGTCAAGCATATATAATTTTGTTAAACTCCAACAAATGAAATATTTCATATTAAATTAATAGAAATATGATTCCCATTTTAAAGATGAAATTTCCTAATATACTTAATGCATATTAAATAAATTTCTAAGTAAAACATGAACTAAGGTTGCAATAAATGATTACTCATAATCAGAATCAGAAAAGTATTGACATCACTCCATCTTCTTGCTAAGTGTTGTTTTTTGGGTTTGTTTTTTTTAAATAATCATTTCATTAGGGGCTCATACAACTCATCACAATCTGTACATACGTCATCTGTGTCCAGCACTTTAGTACATATGTTGACTTCATCATTCTTACGACACCC